GGGTAGGTTCGCGGCCGAATGTGAAGCGGCTGGGATGAGGATCAGCACCTCCAAATCTGAGACCATGGTTCTCGACCGGAAAGGGTGGCTTGCCACCTCCGGGTCGGGGGAGAGGTCCTACCTCAAGTGGAGGAGTTTAAGTATCTCGGGGTCTTGTTCACGAGTGAGGGTAGGAGGGATCGGGAGATCGACAGGCGGATTGGTTCAGCGTCTGCAGTGATGCGGACACTGAGCCGATCTGTCGTGGTGAAGAGGGAGCTGAGCCAGAAAGCCAGGTGCTCTCGATTTACCGGTCGATCTACGTCCCAATCCTCACCTATGGTCATGAGCTTTGGGTAATGACCGAAAGAACGAGATCGCGGATACAAGCGGCCGAAATGAGTTTCCTCCGTAGGGTGGCCGGGCTCAGCCTTAGAGATAGGGTGAGGAGCTCGGACATTCGGGAGGGACTCGGAGTAGAACCGCTGCTCCTCCGGATCGAAAGGAGCCAGTTGAGGTGGTTTGGGCATCTGGTTAGGATGCCTCCTGGACGCCTCCCCGGGGAGGTGTTTCGGGCATGTCCTGCCGGCAGAAGGCCCCCGGGTCGACCCAGGACACGTTGGAGAGGTTACATCTCCAATCTGGTCCGGGAACGCCTTGGGGTCCTGCCGGAGGAGCTGGTGGAGAAGGCCGGGGAGAGGACGGCCTGGAGCTCCCTAGTTGGGATGCTGCCCCCGCGACCCGGACCCGGATAAGCGGAGGAAGACGACGACGGTATTGCACAGGTATTGACTGAATACTGCATTGATGGTAATGTGTACCAGGATAATGCCAGAATACCAGTTAAAGCCTAAAACACCAGCTGAGTGAGTAACTATTACACTTAGCTACTTAGATTTAAAGGCGTCATCGTTTTCCACCGACAGCTTGACAGCCACCAGATCAGCTGGTTTTTAAAAGGTTTCTTATAGACTTGACTTTGTCACCCTTACTGCATCATCTTATCCCTTCAGCGCCTACGTGAGGATTTAATCTCATGAGGTGCAGACCGGGATGACTGATGGTCTCCCAGTGTAAGACGGTCTCTTGACTCATTGACTCAGCAACTTTTAAAATGAGCCTTATCTCCATTCAGATGACAGAGTAGTGTCAGTCTTCATTCTGACGTCTTGTGAAGTCATTTAACACATTATAATGCTCCAACTTTAGCAATCAAAACCACATAACTACTGCAGCTGCAAACTGTTTCATATGTAAAATAGCTAAAATATTGATTCATTCATGTTTAATACATGACTCGGGTTCTTCAAGCAATCTCCTTGTTCCTCCACACATAAGACACACACTATTTAATCTCACTAATTGCACATCTAAAGCCTGAACATGTTTGTTTTGTTAATGAGAAACACATGCAGCAATCAGAAACACACGCTCACACACTTTTCTACATCCAAATACAGATTATTTTAATGACTGGCTGTCACAAAGCCTGCAGGGGATATGTGTATACAATAATTATGGGCCGAAAGTATCTGCACTAATTGGCACTTTTCAGGACAGTTGACAGCTGAAGCCCTTTTATTTCAGCGATGCCTCAAAGAGACTCAAACCCACAGCCCATTACTGTAGTTTGACTGTCAGCTGTCAGGGCTGTAAAAAAGGTCAACAGAGGATCGCTTTCAAAAACAAAACAGCTGCGTCATCGATGAAGTCCGAGCCATTGTCGGGAATTGTTTCATTCTGAGTCTGAATCTGAGGGGTGCTGCGTGCACGCTTTGCTTAATGCAGCATCTGAGAGAAGAGACGGAAGATTCTTGCAGTGAACCTCCCAGCATCAGATGGTGGGTTGGCAGGCCGAGTCTCAGCTGGTAAATGCTGCAGCGCTTGGCCAATGTCCTCCTGTAGGGAAGAAATGAAAAAGAACACACAAATGTACCTCAAGCCTCTTTGGTAAAATAGTTGAGTCCACTAAATTATTTTTTCAGCCATTTGAATCTATTGCACTAATTTATTTTTAGCTTGTGTATCACTACGGATGTCAAGACACACAAAAAAGTTTTGTTAAATAAAGTCAATGAAAGACTCACTTTGAAGGTAATCTCTTCTTATGTTTATATTTATGTTAATTTGACTTGTGTTTTAAATGGGAACTAGGCAGTTTTGGCTTGCTTTTAGCACCCCCTAGTGGCTGTATATAGAACCCAAAGCAAAACGTGTCTCTTTGCTGTGTGTTCGTCTTAATGGTCTTAATCTAACAGCTGAAATGTCTCCCAGCCTTTTTGAGTTTCACTAGGAATGATTCATCAATAAATTAAACAAATCAGCTGTGTTCATGATTTAAAACATGCAGGAAACGTGCTGGGAGCAGATGGAGCACCCAGTATGTCAGCTCATTTTTTCTAAGTTCCTACAGAGAGGAAAGGCAACTCTGAAGTTGCAAGTGGAATTTTCTGGCCACAGGGGGTGATAGAGGCTGGGTGGTCTTTCATTAACTGTAAAGGATCATTTTAGCACAAACTGGCTCAAGAAAATGATTTAAAGGTGCAGTGTGTATGTGACTTCTTCCGGCTTTTGGAGAGTACAGACGCTTTTTTCTCCTCTCCCTCCCTCCTTATCCCAAGGCCCTTTGTCCTGTCTGTGCACGGCGCTTTCTGCATTTTTTCTGGAAAATGGATCTGGTCAGTTGGTCTCTCAACGCGATTGACAAAATTTTTTCAACGATGACAACGGGAGAAGGGGCTCCCGGATGCCCCTCTGGGACAGAGCCAGCTGGGTACATCATGGACTCCTGGAAACAGTGGAACCTGATATGCCTCTCTCAACTGTCTGTAGAGGATTCTGAAGATGTCTGGATATTCGTGGTTTTGGTGTCAGGATTCCTGCTGTTTGGCCTGAGCGGTTACCTGGCTTACCGGAAAATTAACGAGCTTTCGAGGAATATTGGCTCCATCCCGGAGCTCAGGGATGGAATGCATCACGCTGTGAACGCACAAACTCATATAATTGTCAAGATGAGTCGTAAGCTTGGAAATTTGGCTGAGATTCAGGCTCTGGCACGGAAGGTGGATACCATCAAGGAGCGAGTGGACAGATCAGCACGGACTGGGATTGATTAATTACGCCATTATTGGATTTAAAGGGGTTGACCAACAGAACACTAAGGCAGAGAGGAAATTATCTCTGTCCGTCCCCAAAACAATTCTTATCTGAATCTGGTGCCCTTGAGCCTGTGAGACTGAAGTGATAACTCCCCCCTCAGAAGAAATGTGGAATGCTGCAGTCGCTATGGAAACCTTTTCTCCTTATCCCAGTCTGGGCGGGACTGTGACCGGTGAAGGCCGTGGAACCGTATCTAGGAGTCAATGTGCTCTCTAACCCAATATCTCCCTCCCCTGTCCAAACGAAGGTGATGAGTGCTGCCCCACGTGGCTGCACGCACTGAAGTGAGGAGAGTCCCAACCCTACCTCCCCACCTAGTGGACACTTATGTTGTGTAATGTCTAAAGTCTGTGTGCATATCTGTCTGAGGTGTTTTTTGCATAGCAAAGCTGCCCTCCCTTTGGAGGGTAACTCTGAAGTGCTTTTTTCCCCCTCCCCCTGACTCTATCCTCATATAAACCCTCTTGATCTATTATGGTAGCACGACTCGGGTTGCAAATGACCACAGTCACCAATTCTTGTCATGTGTCTTTGTATGTATGTCTGATCTCAGAATTGTGTGTACTGAAACTCTAATTTCCCTCTGGGATTAATAAAGAATCTTTGAATTTGAAGTTAATTGAATTGTAAGAATATAGTGAGAATTTTACAGTGAGAAAATCCCAAAGGAGTCTAATGTTTCAGTCATTTTGGAAGGAAGGTTATACTGAAACATATTTCATATCCAGCTGGCTGTTGGATTGCCAGTTTTTCCCCTTTCACAACAAAGGAAGGAGGAACTTAACTACTGTTTACCATCAGTGAGTGTGGGGGTGCCGTGTCTCACTGCAGCGCCGACAATTGTAATTTGATGGCCGACGGCAAAAAGCTTCAGAGTTGTTTAAAGTGGTTGCAGTAACCACATTTTACCACAGGATGTCATTTTTACTTCATTTCTAAATAATGCACCTTTAAAAATATGATAAACTGCAATGTATCCATTTAACAAACAGCAGGTGTGAGTTTGTGTTTTTATGTTCTCATTGATCACTAGGGCCAGGAATATTTTGGTATTTTTTAAACCTTTTTTGTTCTTCAGCCCTAATGAAGCACAAATGACACACTGGGGATTTTCTGCCCCCTAGCAAATTATTCTAAAGTCCTAAAAATGGGATTTGATTCTTAGTTTTGGTTTACTCATAGTGCATTTGACTTTAGTTTAACCATTTTGATAGATGACAGTTGTGATTTCATACATTTCAGGTAATTCTTACATAAAAGTTTTAGTTGGTGTATAGTAGGGCCAAGAATAAATTTTTGAGTTCATGACAACGTCTAAAAGCTCTTGCATGGTTAAATATGAGTAGTTCTAGATCTAACGGTGTTGGTTCACTGGGAGTCTCTGATGTAGCAGACTGAGTTTAGCTCATGTATAAACAAATGCCTACACACAAATATCTCCAAAGTAACAAAAAGATGGCTCTTTTAAACTACTCACAAGCTCACGCGTATGAAGCCAAATTAGGTATTCATAACTAAAGTTACAGCAGCCTCCATTCATTTGTTTCCTACAGCTGCTCCTTCAGGATCACGAAGAACGGGAACTTATCTCCAGCTTTCATTGGTCTAAAGGTGTACTCTGAACATACCTCTCTCTCTCTCACACACACACGCGTGTGTGTGTGTGTGTGTGTGTGTGTGTGTGTGTGGGTGTGTGTTTACTCTGTGTGTTTTATTGAAAAGGTAAAACTCATTTGTGTTGTTTCAGAAATGCTATCAAAAAACAAATTTTGCTTAATAAAATTACAAAAAATGTTGAAAAAAAATTAATTTCAAAAGGTTTTCAAACCAGTTGCCACAAAGATTTTCTTCATTGCAAGACTTTTTTGGGTTAAAATTCATAATCACAGACCAACAATAATTTGGTTAGTTCAGCAATTATACTGAAAATAATAGAAATGCATGAACAACGGGTCAAAATGGTCTGTTATAAAAGACTTGTGATAATCTGCAAGCTTTTTACATTCCATATTTTACCTTTTCAAGTCAAATTCCACCATGGCCTAGTTTATAGACCCAGAAGAACCTAACAAAGTTAATAAATGTTCTGTTGTACTCATGGTGATTTATCACTGCTGAACAGTTCTGGGCTGATGCTCAGGAAAGCTGTCTACGACACAAGTCTCCAGTGAAAACACACCACTATGACGTAGCTTCATTTACATTGAAGAAGTGGGTTCAGGTCTTAACTGGAGCTTAGTTAGGGTGGCTTTATCCAGTTCACTTGTGTAATCCTGCCCTAAATAAATCTTAACTACTCCTATTCTGCTGATTGAGTGAAAACAAGGACAATATGTCCTTTTGGTCCAAATGAGTTCATTCAACCAGTAAGAATTTGATAAAACCATGAAACGTTCTCTTCATTGGAAACATCTACTAAATTTTTTTTTATGCGTGTGTGTGTGTGTGTGTGTGTGTGTGTGTTTGACATTTTTCATTCAGAGGTTTAATGCCAAGGACACTCGAGAGTCAAATCACCATGGAGAAGACGCCAAGCTACTTTGTGACCAAAGAGACTCCTCGTCGGATCTCTGCCATGTCCCAGGATGTGAAGCTCATCGTGGTGGTGCGTGACCCGGTCACTCGAGCAATATCTGACTACACTCAAACTTTCTCCAAAGCTCCCGACCTGCCGAGCTTCCAAAAGCTGGCCTTCAGGAATCAGAGCATGGGAGTTGTGGACATGTCCTGGAACGCCATCCGCATCGGCCTGTACGCTCTGCACCTGGAGAACTGGCTCCGCTACTTTCCTCTGGCTCAGATTCACTTCGTCAGCGGGGAACGCCTCATCACGGACCCGGCGGGGGAGCTGGCTCGGGTGCAAGACTTTCTCGGGTTAAAACGCATCGTAACGGACAAACACTTTTATTTTAATCGCACAAAGGGCTTCCCTTGCCTTAAGAAGCCGGAGAGCAGTGGCTCCCCTCGCTGTCTGGGAAAGTCGAAGGGCAGAACTCACGTGCAGATAGACAGAGACGCTATCGAGCAACTGCGAGACTTCTACAGACCGTACAATGACAAGTTCTATGAGATGGTAGGACACGACTTTAAATGGGAATAGGACGTTTTTTACATGAAGGATAGAGATGGAAATGGGATGCAGACAGAAAGCTTATGCTAAACACCAACTGTAGCTCTGCTCTTTAACACAAAGCTCCTGCACTTGCAGTTTACCAGCATCCGCATTCTGTTTGTTCCAGATATCATTTCGGCTTTGGGATCAGATTATTTCTGTTGGCGCAGATAACTGCCAGCTAGATTGCAGACTTTCTCATAAAAGAGCAGATTCCAGGGAATGGGAATAGCTTATCTTAAAGTGTCCTTTGCAGACTTTAGGAGGAACAAATCAAGGCAGGGCTTGAAAGTAAGACCTTGAAAAATGTCAGGAAGTCTTCTGGGAGAGGAGCTGCAGTGCCGTGGGTGGACATCCAAAATGTGAGGCTGTGCAACCAGAACAAACGATCTAAAAGTACCCAAACTTTTCCACTGCAGCATCATTTGGATCAGGTATGTGCAGAAACACTGATGCTTTGTTTCACTAAAGTGTCTATATTTTTATTACAATTTAATTTAATCACTGAACTGTTTGTCCACTTCATGAAATAAAGAGGAAAATTGTCCGTTTAGATTTTCTTCATTTCCTAAAGCTTTGTACCTGGTGAAGTTTTGCTGGTATTTGCTGCATGCCCAGAACTCTGTTGTTTGAGGTTTCTTATAGGGGGTTGTTGCATGCATATAGGGGCTGATGATAAGTGCATGAGCGGGTGTAGGTGTGAGGAATTTCAATCACCCTTCAAAGACAAAGCAAGGAGCACTGAGTGGCGGTGGGTTATCAAACAGAACCGTGTGTCACAGCAAAAGTTTGTATTTGGTTACGGTCTGTGAATACTAAGGCTATAACACCACCGTGCTTCCTGCAAAACAAGAACAGAGATTTCATCTTCTGGCTTAGAGAAGAACTGGGCTGGTCAGGAGACTTTAAAGAGCAAGTCAACCCCTACCAGAGTCTAACTCCACTCCCACTTCATGTTTGAAAAATGCAACACATGTTGTTGACTGGCAGACCGAGGGGGCGGAGCCGCTAACAAATACACACACACTCAGGCTCACGACAGCATTGTGACATCATAATGTACCAGTTTACATCATAGCATACTTCTTAGCCAATAGCGGTGGCAGATTTAAATTAAAATACAGTGCAGAGTTTTTACCTGACAATGGCACAACACTGCCAGTTTTAGGTAGAATATTTAAATTTTAACTAAGATGCACTGAAGTGCCAAATTATTGATGGCACGTGTCTGCAGCACGATTAGACACTCGTTTATTTAGTTTATCAGCAAAAAAAGTTTATTTGGGGGTGACTTGCTCTGATAAATATTATCATGTGACATTATTTATTAATTTACTGGCCTCATTATTCTAGGTGTGTGTGTGAGGGGGGGATGTACACACACACACACTTTTTTGAGAAAAATATTCAATCATTCAATTATTCATCCATTCATCTTCTTAGCCTTTTGCTCCTCAGTGGAGTCACAGGGAGCTGGCTCCTATCTCTCAGCAGTCATCAATGGGCAGTACTGTTCCCTTGCCACAAAAAAGTTGCCGGTTTGAATCCTGGCCTTTCAGAATGGAGTTTGTATGTTCTCCCTGTGCATGGTTTCATGTTTGCCAGTTTCCTCCCACAGACCGAAAGCATGCAGGTTGGGTTGATTGGAGACTCTGAATTGCTCCTAGGTGTGATGGACAGGAGACCTGTCCTGTTGTCCCCTGCCTCTCGCCCAGAGACTGAGAGATAAGCACCAGTTCCCTAATGGGTGATAAATGAATTAATGTGTGCAAAACTGTCACAGGAAAATTTGCACATCTGCATGAATGTTGCAAGCATAAGCGTAATTTTAACCGGGGACGCCGGGGACATGTCCCCAGCAAAATTTGTGATTGGCAGCTGTGTCCCCCCCACTTTAAAAAAAGCCTGCTGATGAGGATTTTTGTTTTACCAGCTCAGATCTTATACCGGGGTCGGCAACCTGTTCCCATCAAAGAGCCATTATTACCCATTTCCCACAATAAAGAAAACACCGCAGCAGCCGCAGCGTTGTGGGCGGGGCCTACCCTCAGACAGCAGAGAGCTGCTCACAACCAGGTGACAGCAGCCGGTACCGGTCGCTCGCATGGGCGTCGCACCCGTGGGGGATTCAACACCCACACTTTTCCAGCTGTTTTGCTCACCTCCACACCAGTCTGGTTTGTTTAGGTCGTACTCTCTCTGTTTGCCTCATCTCCTTCTTCACCTCCCGACAGCCGATGTCGGGTTTCCAGGAGAGCAGGAGAGGGAGGGACGGAAGAGCTCGACTGAATTCATAATTTTACATCTTGACATTAGCTGTACAAAGTCTGAGTTTGATCAAGTGAAGAACAACAATTTGCAGAGGTTTATAACAGGCGCAGCGCCAGGTTTTCATTTTTGGGTGGGCCACGGTCATTTTGGACGGACCTTAATAAGCAGTGACTTAGTGAAGAAAGCAGGTCGCGCTAGAAAATTTAGTTTAAAAAGACGTCATAAATGTGTTCCCCCGTCATTTTAATTTATAAAATATGAAGTAAAAACTCCCAGTTTAATTTTCATTCATTTGTCATTAATATTTAGTCTACACCCGTGCGTTAAGTGGACCATCTTCCAGTAAAAGCCAAGCATCCAGCCCACCTCTCCAAATGCGTAAAATGTGCATCAGCCGCTAGTTAGGCGCGCCGCGCGCACCATCAGCTACGTCAGCCCAGACAAGAGCAGAGCAAATAGAGAAAGAATAGAGGATAATTGTGTCTGGATGTGGATGGAGATTACATTTTACAGCAGCCTGATCATCATTTAAATACGTAAACCATCACCTGTCTTCTAGTCCACGCTATCAGCATTATTTTAATTGGTGTGTGTGTGTGTGTGTGTGTGTGTGTGTGTGTGTGTGTGTGTGTGTGTGTGTGTGTGTGTGTGTTTTCCACTTCAAACACTAGTCTAACCAACCAGACCAGCGTGTCCAGTAACAAATTAATGTTACACTTCATGTAGGCTAGGAACGTTTCACCTGCCGTGGCCCGACCGCTTCTGCTCCACATGAACTTTGTGCGTAATCAAATGTCTCTACAGGTGCTTTCTGAGCTGAAGAGGTGATTCTGCCTCAGACTGGATGCGTCATGCGTCTCCATATTAGAGACGGGAACAAGCACTGTTCAGCCAAAGTTTCATAATTTCATAAAAAGAACATTTTTCCAAGTGACACATCCCTCAGAGAGACCGGGTTTCCAGACCGCTTCAGTGGGAGGAAATCTTATCGCATGCACCGTGGTTCTGCGCTGCGCTGCGAACCCCTCTACAGATCTTCAGCCCACTGTCCACCGTGGACGCTCCGAGCCGCGCTGAACACAGTGTCCAGTATAAAGCTCTGATGTTCTGATGGGAATCAAGTTACCTCTGCGATGTGCGTAACAATTAAAATGTCAGCTCATCCATGCGCATTAGTGTGCGTTGGGGTAATTATTTCAAAACAACCAACATCCTTGAGTTTATCCGTCAATATGTGGCAAGGTGGAGAAACGAGGGCCCAGGCGGGATTTGATCTCCAGACTCCCGGGTGAGAGTCATACGCTCTAACCAGTCAGCCAAAGGAACAACCCCTTGGCCAAGTAGCCAGGGCGCATTATCGGGACACTGTGACAGGACACTCACTGCCACACCTGATTATGAAACTTTGGCGGAATAGCGCTTGTTCCTGTCTCCAATGTGGCGACGCATCCAGGAACCTGTCTGAGGAGAAACCCAGAATCTGACATCCTCCAGCTCAGGAAGCGCATATGATTACGCACAAGCGTGACGCGTCAACCCGGTCTCACAGTAAGACCGGGTTGGACCTGTTCAGGTTTACGCAGACAATCTTTACATTTAGAATTGGCATACAGATGTAAAATTAATGCAGTAAAATATAAAGCTTTTTATTTAAATATCCATTCATTATTTTACAAGCACAGAGAGCCGCATCAGATGGATGGAAGAGCCGCATGCGGCTCCAGAGCCGCCGACCCCTGTGCTAGCCTACTTTATTGTCCCCAGCAATTTTTAAACCCCACTCAAGTGTATGGTTATTGTCCCCAGCAATTCTGAAAACAAACTGACGCCCTTGGTTGCAAGTTCTATTCAGTTTCAACAAAACACGGGAGACAATTACCAGGTCAGCATGCTTTGCTTTGTTTCCTTAGCCAGTCACCAGCAGTAGCAGTCTGGTGAGAAAATACACAGGACCCTGTTTAAATCCCATAAACATGATTACAAAAATGTATCCTCAACTCTGCTTGTGGCCCGGGGGCCACATCCAGCCCACCAGACATTTCCACCCAGCCCCCCAACCCTTTTGGCCCTAATGCCTCCCTACTGGGGAACTTTGAAGTTTAGCAGCAAAATTAAAGTCCCAAATATCATTAAATGTCAATCTGCACCTCTAAAGACACTGCAGAATCTCGGCTACAACACCTTTTTTACGTTCTCTAAACACAAATAAAACTACAATCAAAAGAGCGACCGGAAATCCTGTTTCTTTATTTTTTTATTTTACCATGTCCTGTCTGGCTGTGAAGCAAACAGAATTGATGTCTAAATGCTGGTAACAAGCCTTACAGATTTACTCTCAGGTGGAGCATCAAAGCGTCTACTTTTAATGTCACGCCTGATACTTAAAACTTTATTGTTGTTGTTTTTGAATGCTTTGTAATTCCGACCGGACACGGAGTCAGAGGTGAAAGAGAAAGGAAAAGACAAAAGGTGGGGAGAAGGGGGGAAGGGGTTGTGTGTGTGTGTGTGTGTGTGTGGGGGGGGGGGGGGGGGGGGGGTCCACAAAAATAAACAATAATTAACAAGAGTCTGCTTCTAGACCTGCAGAAAGAGAAAGAGTAGAAGAAAAAAAATGGGACACACAACAGTACATCAGGAGCAAGCTATCACTGCGTCAACCTGATGATGAAATATAAAATCAACATTGTTTAACTGAACAATCACACAATAATAAATCACAGTGCATTTAGTGGCAACGACAGCCTTGAGACAAGTGTTGAACGTGCCCAAGCCCATACTTTTGAGAGCACCATGTGAGCACCTGTGTGTGTACACGCGATTGTTTATGTAAGGTTTCTCTACAGGAGCGTCCAATAGAGAGTGTGAGGAGCCACAGATCTGCCCCCCAAAGATGCGTAGGAGACGGGGGGAGCTTCAAGTCCCAGAGATCCAGGCGCTGTCCCAGAACACAGGAACCCCAAGGAGACTGCAGCCAGAAGGCCCCCGCCCCCCTTGAGAGGCACAGAGGGTCGCCCCGGGGGGCCACAACCAGCAGCCGGCAGAGCCCCTGGAGATCTCAGCGGCAAGCCCACAGGCCCACCCGCAGCCTCCCACCCCCTAGCCGGCCGAGCCCGGGACCCAGAGACCCGGGACCCAGGGGCGACCACCCCCGCCGGAGACCCAGCAGAGCCCAGGGACCCAGAAATCCTGTTTCATGCGTGAGAGTTTTTGTCACATTTCTGTCTCTAACGCTGCTAAAAATCCAACACATATTCTATGCACTCATTATATGTTTTTCACAACTCTCTACACTTTGTAAAGCTAATTTCAAGATGTAAAATCCATCAAAATGATACCAAAAGTAATCAAATCGACTTTGTGGTTACATAAATATGCTCATTAAAAGTGTGTGTGTGTGATTTCTGAGTAGCTTTTTCAAAAATAGGCTGTGGGCCAATCAGGAATAGAGAAAATGCATGTTCTACTTTGCTTCTAAATCAAATTAAACAGAGAATGAGTACAAAGTCATATATGTCATTTATATTATTTAATCTGCAGCAATTCTCAGAATGTTCCACTATTAGCGCATTATTGTGGTGTTTTTAGAAAAGCTGGTCAAAGGAAGAAAGCAACACAGGCACAAGTACAATATTTACCCGGTTGATACGCAGAGCCAACTAAACTAAACGCTGGTAGAAAAAAAACATACATTTGGATGAAAAAATTGAAACACGAAGTTATTAAAAAATGATGATAATAATGTAGCTTAATTTTAGAAGAGCATCTGGCCGTCACGGTGTCTGCTGGAATAAAGTCCGACCCTTGCTGAGGGCCCCTGCCGTAACAAATGACCCTGCAACAAACTAAGATGCTACAGATAAGAAAGACCAGAGAGATTTAAACACATGTCTTTATTCTTGTAGATAAAGGAGGATAACGTTCATAAAAAATGAAACTTTCCACAAAGATGGTCATGTTTCATACAGCTAATTTGTATCCT